TCCCTATTTCCACCTGTGGAGTGGATGGGAGTTCTAAGTGTGGTGGAGGGAGCTGGGGAACCAGGAGTCAACCCCAGAATCATTCCCCTATAGTCTATTCTTCCGCTGGACTGTAGAGGATGATCTTGCCCCATTTTCCCCTGTGACAGGGTGTACCAACTCCACATTGCGGCTGAAGGGGTTAATCTAGCTCACCTGGCTGTGGAGGCCCTGCCCCCATAGCTCTGCTGGGCATGCTCCTTCTGGAGTCAACTATAAAAGCCTGTGGAGATGCCACACAGGAAGGAGGTACTGTTGGAGCTCCTGAAAAGGACCCAGGGGGAGAGGGCAGACTAGGCATCCAGTCCGGAGGGGAGAGACGGAGAGGGTTACCCGGAGGACACTGGAAGGAAGTAGCCAAAGGTGGGGAATTAATTCCCCAGAGCTTGGTGTGTTGTAGTAGGATTTCCTGCCAAGGTAGTGGTTGTCCACTCCACCACTGACAGGCACCTGGGCTTGGACCTGGTGGAGTGGATGGGGCTGGATCCCCCTCCCCTCTCCTCCTCAACCCCATGAGAGGGCACAGCCCTGTGGTTATAGCCTCTGGCTATTAGACTATGCTGCCCCCCGGGAGAGAGGATGGCATTGTTATAGACTTTGGCTAGTAGGCCACAATACCCTGTGGGGGAGATATGTTGCTATAGACTCTGGCTGTTAGGCTACTCTGCCCTGAGAGGGGAGGGCATTGTTATAGACTTTGGCCATCAGGCCATGCTGCCCTGAGAGAAGTGTTACTGTAGACTCTGGCCACTAAGCCACACTGCCCTGAGAGGAGAGCACATTGTATAGATGTTGTCTGCTAGGTCGGGTTAGAGGCTTGCCTGTCAGCCCCGATGGTTGGAGAAGACCACAGGTGGCAGCAACACACACAGGCAAGAGGCCCCATGAACAGAGCAGACTTGTTCTCTACAGTTGATTCCCCATGAACAGGTATAAGACTTTCTTGCCCCATGGTTCCCAAGAGCCACTTGTTTTGGTAGCTATGTCCCCTGCCATATCCCCCACCATGAGTACCTGTCCTTCCCAATGAGGTAGTAATCCCTGCTCTCCGTGTTGATGGATATCACTTCCTCAGGGCAGCACTTGAACATCTTCCTTATTGCTGTCATCTTCTCATAATTATTGATGCCAATCTCTACATTTGAAATCCTGTTGGGTATGAACCATTTGCTTATCACATACATTCATGCCCTAGGTGAAATGATCATCTATAAAAGCCAAGAGGATCAAGGGTTTGCTAGATAATTTCCGTACTATTGTATAAATAACTTCTCTGAGATAAATGAATCATGCTTGCCACGATGGTACCTCAGGGGCAGCCAAGAGTGGAGCCCCATTATGGTAGGTGCTGTAATTATTACAGAATGTTTTTATACAACCAACAATAATGGAGCTGGTTGAGAAATGTAACGCCTTTCACAGAAAGGTTACACAAAAGTAAATCAAAGATTTGCTGGGTTTTTAATGGTGACGTTCCCAACATTTTTTTTTAAAAATGGATAAAATCAGGTTTTGGGACCTGAAACTCCTTCCTTCCTTGAATTTTTTTTTTAATCATCATCAATTTTAATTCATAAAAGAGAAAAACCCCACAGCTTTATGGGTGGAATTAAACGGTCATTACATGATTTAAAAACAAAACAAAACACCACACATTTGACTCAGCCAACTGGAAAGTTTTCAGACATAAAGCATTGCTTAGGAAAGCAAAGAATGCAGCTTTCTTTACAATAGAAAAAGCACAACAGGGAGGGGAAGGGCCCATCCAAAGTCCTTTGATGCCAATGCAAAGACTTAGTCTTTGGACTAGGCCCGAGGTGCAAAACACATTGGACAAGCCTTATCTCGTCCAATCCTGCATCTTGTATATCCCAAACACTCAGAGCTAGAATGTGATTAGCTTTTGTCCATGCTGCCAAGAGCGAGGACGAGCACCAAATGAGTCTCCTAGCCTCTGTCTGCCCAAAGAAGAGTGCTCAGCACTGTGCGGAAACTAATTGCTTTGTGCACTGCCATGGCCACATGCTATCCCAGTGCAGGTAGGAGGAGGCAGTGCAGAGCAGCCTGTGCCATTCCTCATATAAAATTAGGTTCCCCCAGGATTTCTGGACAGCACCATTGTGTGGGATCAGGCTGATGGTGTGTACCCAGCTGAAATGCACTAGCCTCCAGCCAGTTTCTGAAAGCCCCTAACCCCCCCCCCCCCCGAAGTGGAATAGATCCTTCCCTGTAAAGTCCCAATGTGGAGAAAGGCGCTCTTCAACATTGGCATGGCAGAATCCCTTTGCACCTAGGAACACTCGATGTTGTTCCTGGAGAAGATAAAGGGACCAGCTACTACTACTGTAGGTAACAGAAGCATTATTTTAGTGCTGGGTGCAGCACTAATGCCTGGATCTTTTATATAGCCATAGCTTGACTTTTGTCTATAGAAATCCCATTAAGTTTATCAAATAATACAACACTCTCAAACCCATCCAAAGCCTCCTGGAGTCAGTGGGAGTCTTTCGACTGACTTCCAATGGCTGTGGATCAGGCCCTAAATCAGTAGCAAAAGGTTAAATTGGTGATCTCATTTCAGGCAGCAGATGTGTGGTTTCAAAGGAAAAAAAAAAGATAAACTTCAGATACTTACTGATCAATTGCAATGGAGCCCTTTATCTGTTGGCCTTTAAGGTACTTCAGCATGTAGCATCTCTTGCTAGGCTTGCACAAGATGAAATAGCGCTTTTTCCAGGACCCCTGCAGAAAGGAAAGTCCGTTTGCCTCTCAGCAATAGCAGCTGGTTGTTAAGGGGTGGCTGGAGGTTGACTAATTTGGGTATGCTGTACCTGTGAAGTGAAAAGCTGAGGAGGGGGTGACTTGATGAACTCTCCCTGCTTGCAGATTTCTTCTCCCTGGAAAAAGGTGGCTTGACTGCCTGCCAATCAAAGAGAAATTAATGGCACCACTGCTCAATTTGTGGCTTATTAATCTCCTATGTTGGCCTGCTTGGAAATTGGTGCTGAGTGCTGGGCTTCTGTGCTAAAAAAGACCATGAAGCCTGTGCAATAAGAGGAGACAAGCACAAATAACAGCTATAAAATGCCCAGACTGAGCATCCTCCCATGGATGTTGATGTTATTGCTGTTGACTGCCCCCAAACTGGAAATACAGAGCAGTGATTACTGACAATATATTGAGGAGGGGTCTAGTGAGATGCTGCAAAGCTTTGTATTAGGTCTGATCTAATTTAACTTCTTCTTTAGTGAGCTGAAAGAGGGAATAAATAGCACACTAATGCAATTTGCAGATGGCATTAATTTGGAAGAGTTACAAACACCGGAGAGGACAGAAAATACTTCAGAGCAAGGTAGAAGCTAACAAGATCAGAAAGTAAAATGGAGAAAATGCAAGTTAATGCCTCCGGGACAAAACAAACCCAAATGCATAGACCCATGACCCAGCACACCGTGGCAAGCTAGCTCAGTTTGTGATCACTGGGTGGAATTGACTAATCAAAACCTAAACGACTTCATATTTAATGTGTGTTGTGATTCATTGAAATGGGCTGTACATGAGTAAGTTCCAGTTCAACTCTTTATAATCTAGTAGCCAGTCTTTAAGATGTAGGTTTATTTTTAAAAAACGGCGAGGAGTCCTGTGGCACCTTACACAGGGAGCAGGTAAAGGCAGCTGGAGAGCACACAAAGGCCATGCCATTGCCCACAGCAAACCCCATCTTGGCATGGATAGCTAGACAGACAGACTCTCTCTCTCTCTCTCTTTTTCTTTCTCTCTGAAGTCGATGGGAGTTTTGCTATGGGTCAAAAGGAGCCATGAGTTTTCTGAAACTACTGAATGTGTCTCCGACTTGTTTGGTTCCTTTACACCAGTGGCCCCCCAAACTGAGGGGAATGGAGGAACATTTAGGTATGGGGTGCAGTGAGATCTGCCCATGGGGAGCCTCCTCTCCATCCCCAGCATGACCCTCCTCCATCTCCACCGGCGGGTTAGTGTGTGCGGAGGCCCAGCCCCAAACTGGAGCGGGTGGGGGACAATGCAGTACAAGCTCTCCCCACCCTTCTCCTCACAGAGTCAGGCACAGCTGTGTGCCAGGTTCAGGGCCCCACCGCATGGCGGCAGGGGTGTAAATTTTGCCTTTGCCCTCAGGCGCATAATGCCCTTGCCATACCTCTGTCTGCAAGGTGCCAGCACCTCATTGGCAGGGATGTTACATTATAACAGCAATCATTTGGAGGCTGGAGCAACGTTTCCTTTGACAAATCTTGCTAGATTCTCATTTGTACCTGTGGCAGATTTTGGAGGTTTAAAAGGCATTCTGATTGCTTCCGCAGCCTGGAAAATCAAACGAAGCAGAGATTCCAGGCAAGATACTTTCACCCTGAATCAAGCGGAGTAGTGCCGTCCTTGGCAAAGAACCCTCCTGGCAGAATCTAGCATTGAGTAAAAGAAAACACATCATGTTATTTTCCCAAACCGATCACAAGTATCTTTTTTTTTTATATATATATATAGGCCAAGGGGATTCGCTTTACGTGAAGGACACTTGCCCGAAGAACTTTATTTTCTGTCCCTTTCACAAATTATCAGCAACTGTAACCATGAAACAACAATGATTATAATTCCTTGTTTCTGGCAGTGCTCAGTGTGGCTGGCACTGAAAACCAACTGTTGATGAGATTAGGTGCTTGAAGATCTGGGCTGATGACACACAACAAAGGCCAGGATCCATTTTATAGACTGAAGGTTTGAGAGAACATCTATTCTCCCTTACCTCGGCATAGATTCAGAATATCTCCTTTTCCCTGGAATTACTCCACATTTTCATGAGGCTAATTGAGATTTCACTCTGACCGAGAGGAGATAAGTATTTAAATAACCGGTTGATAACAGAGCTGAAAAGAGAAAACCTGCCTAACAGAGGGCAGAATTTTGCAAAAGGTGCTTTGTGTATTTCTAACAACATTTAAGAGAGAAGTTTTTAGTAGGACCAGAGAAACCTCCGACTCTTGATCTATGGAGCTCCTGAGTGTGGAGCCAAACCCAACAGGAAGTGATTTTAGATTATTACTCTGTGTTGTATTTCTGTTGTTGCTTTAGGTATTTTGCCTTTTAACACTTTTACCCAAGGACTCCATTCTGCATCATCACACTCTGAGCTTTGTCTTCTAGCTATATTTGGCCTTCCTATTTCTTTTCAGTTTGAACGGAGTTCACTGAACTTGTGCCAACTAGTTACTTTACTGTGGGCATGTCACCACCTGCATGTGCTGAATGCCATTGAATTGTGTTACTATTACTTCCATACTTATTGAAAAACAAATCTGGTCTCTTTCAGTTGTATACCTTTTGTAGGTGGCACACTCAAGCTACGTCGACACTGCCAGTTTTTGCGGCAGAAAATATGCTAACGAAGGACTCATTTGCATGAGTCGCAATCTCACTTGCATATTTTCTGCCGATCTGTTTTTGTGCTATGAGTTTTTGTGCAAAAACAAGCAGTGTGGATGTTTCCTTTTTGTGCAAGATCCTTATGCCTCAAAAAGAAGGTATACTGATCTTGCGCAAAAAGGAAATGTCCACACTGCTTGTTTTTGCGCAAAAACCCCTAGCTCAAAAATGGATCGGCAGAAAATATTCAAATGAGATCGTGACTAATGCAAATGAGTCCCTCGATTGGCATAATTTCTACTGCAAAAACTGGCAGTGTAGACGTAGCTAGAGAGTGCCACCTACAAAAGTTAGCCTCGGTTAGATACCATTCTGTTCTTTCACTTGGGAAGCAGTTCTCAATATCCTGAAAAAGATTCACTATTTGTAAATTCAAGTTTGTTTTAATTTCCTCCTCTAGTGCTCAACCAGGTTCCCTTCCAGACTGTCAGATCTCGGTGGCTTCTTTTTCTCCAGTTTCATCAGCCACCATGTGTGACAGACATGTGGGTTGTAAGAGTTTGTTCTTTATTTTTCTGGCCTTAGTCCCCTGATATTAACTTCCTGGGTGACCCCCAAACATTATTTTGTCACAGGATAGAGATCTAAGCAGTTGACTCAGATAGTGGCTGTTTTAGGTGATACTATAATGCAGCCATTAGAGACCTCTATACTAATTTGTACCTTCCCCCCACCCCTCTTTTTTTTAATAAACCCTAGTGTTTTTGCCTTGTGAGAGGGTGTTTTGTAGTAAAATGCTGTGGCAGAATATCTGTTATAACATTTACTGAATAAGATTTTCATGTGTCGACTTTTTAGACTCCAAATAAAAATGTTGGAGCCTAGGGGGGTGGAAATGTGCAGCCACTTGCATTCTTTATCTGAGTTTTAATATTACTCTGACACCCCTTTTGTTTCCATGAAAGGCATAGGAAAACTCTTTTAAACCAGATTAACAAAGTCTTCTAAACTCTCAAATGCTATATAATGATCACAAAAGCAACATTTCATGAGTCTACGAAGGGAGCCGAAAAAAAAGACTCATTTAAATTTGAGTAAAGGTCAAGATACGTGGGTAGAAAGACAAAAGAAGCTAAATTACAATAGGGCTCTTAGTCATCCACATTATTGCAATTAATATTTTGTAAACCACAGCTTAATCACTTTCTTTCATTCAGTGAGGGGGAACCTTTCTGAAATAGCAAAATTTTCATTTAGGCTAGACAATAGCAATTTCACGATTCTGCTGCCTCGGCTTTTGATTTCTTTCAGTGTTTAAAAATCTTTAGTTAAAATGCAGATTAAGTCCTGTAAATGAATAACATTGGAGGTTAATCTTAAACTTTAAACGTAACACTGGGAAAGACAAACAAGCTGTATTAGTACTTACAGGCGACAGGTGTCTAGTGTATAGATGATCTTAGAAACATGCACCTTTATATGTTCACAGAGCCACTGTATCAGTCTCCCAATCACACTGTTCTGTGCTGCTGCCCAGCAATGCTAGTACCTACTTATACCAGTCAACTAAGCACCATGTGAAATATGACACAAGGAAATTCCCAAGGTTCCACCATGTGGCACATTTTACCATAGCAGTTTAGTTGAATGACAAATTGTTCAAACAGAGGAAATCCAGGAGATTAATATACATTGATCGACTGATTTAAAAAAATCATGCTTGATTTAGCCTCGACAGGAGGAAAACAATGACAACCTTATTTTCAGGTTTCTGTTTTCCTTTCGGTAAATATTTTTCTTCGGCCTGAGCCTGACATTTTGCTCTGTCTTTGTAGATAAAGTTATTTTAAAGCCAGAAAACATTTAGGAGTTTGGCATTAAAATTCAGAATTTAATGTGCAGCCCTAGAAGAATGATGCAGCCTTCCCCACACTACCCTGTCAATGCATTTCCAGTCTGACACGGAGACACCACCTTACAGGTGTCATTGGTTACATTTGTGTTGATTTTATTTCATGCTGGAAATTGGCCACTTAGGTTGTTGAATAATCTGGATCTATGTCATATAGGTCATCAAAAAACCTTCTAAATAGATTATCTCTACCAAAATGCTCAGTGAAATCTCATGACCACTCAGTTATCCAGTCAAAGACATTGAATTTGATTATTTTCTGGCTACTTTGAACTCTTCTGACAGAGTAAAGGAGCTAGACTGTGAACATAGATTGTCAGCTGAGAATTCTCCTGAGGAGAGATTAATTGTTTTTGTAGAAATTATTCAAAGAAAATATTTGCAGAAATAATTTCAAATAAAATTCCATCTAGATACAGAAACTGGTCTCTAAACTTGGAAGAGTGTTTTTTGTATAGGTCAAGAAGCACCTCTCTCTCTCAAAACTTTTTCTTGTGGATAACTTTTCAATATCAATTTCCTCTCTTGCATTATTTGCATATACAGTATTTGTAGATTGGAATTGGAGTGGAAGATAATTTGCACTCTGCCTCAGTCTCTTTCTTTCTTTGTAAAGCAGCCAGTACAGTTGCTATACTCTCTAATGCTGGGGAGTTGGGAAACACGTAAGTATATGAATAGACCAGAAAGGATAACAACAACCCTCCCACACAGAGAATCATACATGCTGCCCCTGAAATATCATAATAAAACTCAAAGGGGTTTTCAGAGGAGTATAACACAAAGATTTTTATTCAGGAAATTGTCCCATCGAATGCCCAAATAATTTGTCTCTGAGTTTCCTCTTAAGTCTGGATTTCCCCTACGGGAAAATGACAAGTTCTTACAAAAAATGTCCAGTCCTTGTTTAAAGAGGTTAAGGAATAAAGATATGAATGGATTTACATTATGGCTTCAAGCAAAGACATTGACTTCAATGACCTTTGGATCAGGGCCTAAAAGAGAGAGGAATTGCATTGTCCTCTTCCAGCTCTCACTTGGTTTAGCAGCAAAGTTGCCTCACTAATATGAGTGCCAAGTTAACAGTTTTCTGCAGAGAACAGAGGAGTAATTCAACCTTTCTCAGAACAGCACGGAGATTACTTTCCTCCTCAGATGGAATCCTCTACTTACTAAGAATTGCCAAACTGTCCTCAATGGTGCTTAACTTCAGATCTCACTGCAGACAAAATATGCCTAGCAGCTTTATTTGCTCTCCTATGGAACCAGCTGATGCAAAATCATCACCCTACCTACCTCCGCATTGGAATTCCTCACCATCACCATGTGGTTGGCCTGGAGACCAACTCCACAACATGGAAGGGGATGAATCAAAGGTAGTAAAAAGGGGCTTACACAGCCTCTGCCCCCCATCAGCAGTTAATTTTGCCACTAGTAATTAATGACATTGCTTGAAATCAGTTTGCCATAGTTGTTCCCTCTTATTTAAAGATCATTTCCCACCATTCTTAAGCAAGAACACTGTTGGAGCAGAAGAGAAAAGAACGGCAGCTGCTTAAAAAGTTAAGTACAGTAAAACTCCAATAGACCAGCATCCAATAGTCTGGCATTGATATCTTTTCAGGATGAACTCTAGAGGCTAGAACGTTAGCTGCCTTGAAAGTAAGTAATGTAAGAATTTGATGGGGTTGAGTCAACAAATTCATTATAACCATATTTGCACAAAATTCAATACTTAATCATTGGAACGAGAAAGAAATAATTACTATAGTTAGATGTTTACAACTGCTGAGTGTCTACTAGGGCTAAGCAATGGATTTGTATACAGTATATATTGTGTATATATACATAACGGCTACGTCTACACTGGCATGATTTTCCGGAAATGCTTAAAACAGAACAGTTTTCCGTTATAAGTATTTCCGGAAAAAGAGCATCTACATTGGCAGGATGCTTTTCCGGAAAAGCCCTTTTTCTGGAAAAGCGTCCGTGGCCAATGTAGACGCGCTTTTCCGGAAAAAAGCCCCGATCGTCATTTTCGCGATCGGGGCTTTTTTGCGGAAAAGACTACTGTGCTGTCTACACTGGCCCTTTTCTGGAACAGTTTTCCGGAAAAAGGACTTTTGCCCGAGCGGGAGCAGCATAGTTTTTCCGGAAAAGCAGCTGATTTCTTACAGTAGATCGTCAGTGCTTTTCCGGAAATTCAAGGGGCCTGTGTAGACAGCTCGCAGCTTATTCCGGAAAAGCAGCTTCTTTTCCGGAATAAGTGGCCCAGTGTAGACACAGCCAACCATTTTATAGTACCTCCTGATACTCCGGCATATCTGATAATCCGGCACCACCTAGGTCCCATAGGTTCCGGATTATCGGAAGTCTACTGTAACGTTACTATAGCTCTCCACTGCATTTTAAAATGGTTAAAGCCCCAAAGCCAGCCATGTGTCTTGGGGCCTTTTTGCAGTTCCCAAGGGCACATGCAGAAGAAATCTTTGCTCAGAAGAGGTTAATTGTAGAAGAAGAGGTTTGCAGTGTTGTGTGGATCCAATTCAGGGACCTTAGAGATAGCAGAACATTGTTAGGGGAACTGTTCCCAACCAGTTGATCATGATTGACTGGTCGATTGTGGAGGCTCTGACAATCAGTCTCAGCTCAGTCCCACATCTCCTCTCTCCCCACTTGGTTCTCCAGTATCAGTTGGCGTTTTAACAACGCACCAGCTGAACTCAGTCTCACTGTGCCTTAACCACAGGTTGGGGAGACTGTGGTAGCCCTAGGCTAATTTTCTGAATGCCTTCACAGTTGGGATTGTTTCCTTTACCTTGAAAGGTGCTTAAAGGGACAGGAAGTGTCCAGAGGGGGGCAGACTGTGCTCACTGCTTTGAATTCCTGCGAGGTTGCCTCCTCTGATCCTGAGAAGGAGTCTGCAGAGAACTGCCCATCGCCCACCCTCCTAATCTGCGCTAGAGCTGTGTCTGCAGCACAGAACAAGTTCCAGCAATGCCATTGTGCTTCCTTTCCACAGCCAACCAGAGGAGACTACATGCAGCCTCCCCATCCGTCCTTACAGCTTCCTAGCTGCAACAGTGGATGGGGTTGGGGGTGGGAATTAGGGATGTAAAACCCATTTAATTAGTTTAACCAGTTAAGCAATTAAATTGTGGTGGGCTGGGGAGGGGACTTCAGCTGGCTGGTCTGGAGCAGCCCCCTTGCTTGCTGCAACCAGGCTGTAATGGTTCCTCTGCCATGGGTGGGAGCTGCTTCATCCAGTCTGGTGCACCCCTGCCTGCGATGTGCTGGGCTGGGGCTGCCACAGGCGGGGGCTGCTCGGAGTGGGCTGGGTTTCTCTCACCTGCAGTGGACCCCAGGAGCTAGAGCATTTCTCTGCCTGGGATGGGCAGATGGGAGTTGATTCAGCCCTCACCAATTAACCATTCACATCCCTAGTGGGAATCCTCTGCAGCTCCCCAGCCCTGTCAGTAAGCCCTGGTCGACACTAGGGCCTTATTTTGAAATAACAAGTGGAGCGTCCACACTGCCAAGCCCATTATTTCGAAATAAGGGGCTGGTTATTTTGAAATAACTCCGGCTTTCCACAAGGAAGTGGTAGAGAAAAGAAACTGCCCCCCCCCAGTAAAAAAGTTTGACCAGGCGGCTCTTGTACTGCAGTACTCCTTGAGAGAAACCGGCCGCACCCTTCCTGCATACTTTAGAAAAAGGAAAGGTGTGAAAAGGGGAAAATAGCTTCAAACTCTCCCACCCATCACCGTGGCGTGAGAACTGTGGGGCTTACCTGGTCGCATGAAACCTGCACAGTTTCGGCCCAACCCCTGGGACACAGACCCCCCACATGGTGACCATTGGGCCATATATGGTAATATGCAAGCGCAGGAAAGCGATGTGCAGATTTGGGGATAAATACCCATCACACAGTTCACTCTAGGAGGTCTTCGCAACACACGTACCACCGTGCGTGTGCCTTCTCGTATACTTCAAAGTGCTGCCGGCCTGATCAACCGACCAGCCACCTCCCCCGACTCTCGGGCGTAACCAAGGCCTTTGCAACCAAACCGATATCTGTGAAATGTTCCATGTGCTGTGTAAGTTGGTATGTATGATTTGATTTTTTTCTTGTAGTATAAGCTTAGTGTTGTAGTTGTTTTTGGATAGTACATAAGAGTTTGTAGTTATCACTGTTATTTAATTACTGTAGCTGGATAGTTTAAGATTAGAGACTATTCTCCTTGCCATTCCCATCTTTATATCTCTGACACGTTTTACTAGAAGCCATAGAATAAATATAATAAATACTGTAAATTCATTATTAACACGGTCTATTAAAAATCTTAGAATAAATACTATAAATTCACCACTGTCATAAATAAATAATTTTTATTTGATAAAACTGTCCACCTGGTTCTGTCCTTCCCCCCTTGGGTATTTATCATCGGACCTGTGATTCTCATGACAGGAAGAAGGCTTATTTTGAAATAGCGGCAGTGTGGACGCTCCGCAGCTGCTATTTTGAAATAACTACTCCCCAGAGTCATTCAAAGTAATTACCCCCACCCCCAGTGCTTCCGGGAGCTCTAAGTCAAGG